AATGTGGAGTTGAAGGCAACAGCAAGTGTTTTCTTCTTCTCGTGTATAAGTTTTTTTAAAAAATAAATTCTGCTTCATATGAATATAAGAATAGGTCTGCTAATAACGGTGCGCGATTGGTACCCATGGAATTTCTGACAGATTTTTGGAAGACTTGATCTGAATTACAGTGAGTGAAGTAAATTGGCCGTATTTCCGAGGTTTCGCTGAATTGTATGTTGGTTGTTTGCTTGTGTATATTATTTTACAATGTCATTAATTATATAATTAACAAAAAGAACAGCCAGACTATCATGTATGGTTATCAAAAAACAAACAAACAAACAAGCAAAACAAAACAAAACAAAATAAAAAAAAAACAAAAAAAAAACAAAACAATTTTTTCTTGGAATAAATTAAACATAATAAGTTTGAAAAACTTTAAAGTGTAGTGTGAGCTGTTTTGCAGGGGTGTAGCTTGCGTTCAATTCTAGCGAGACAAAGCCATAGCGGCAGGGGGTCTTGGGACTACTTTAAGCCCCAAGCAGGTCCATGACGGAGCACCGGGGGGGGGGGGGGGTTAGAATGCAAAAATTATACTTGTCCTGTAATTCAGAGGCGGAGTCACAAACTTAAAAGTGGGGGGGGGGGGCTCAAATCCAAGAAAGATGTAAAGCGTGTAATGTAAAGAAATTAAGATGTAAAACATGTCATATCAAGCCCCTGTCTATAAGTTGAATGAGAGGACTTCAAATAGTGATTGACATTCATCACAGATATTATATACCGAAATCAGAATCTCCAATACTGCAGCTATATCTTGTAGAAATTACTAATCTTGATGAGATTCGGATTGGCTAGGATATATTCTAAAGTACATACATGTATATGTAAACATAAAGAGTACTTTTCAACCTTGTATATATGACACCGATGAAACACTAGATTAGTGTCAAGTGATTTGAGGTACGTACATGGCTGATGGGAGCCACTTTCTTTGAATCTTGTGCTTAGATCAAATTTATGACCCGCACTCCCTATCCCAAACATGCGAACACAAGAGGTCTTGACAGATTTAAGGGGTACCGACCCTCTGAAAAGAGAGATAACTTTTCAAGTGAAAAATACGAATACTATTCATAGTTTTTATTGTCAGAGTTTCATTATCAAGACCTTTGATTAGTCAATATTCGATCAATCCTAACATATGATGGAAACATTACCTTCTATTTCCTTTGGTTATACTTTTCAAATTGTTTTATTATATTTAACAAAGAGAGAGAGAGAGAGAGAGAGAGAGAGAGAGAGAGAGAGAGAGAGAGAGAGAGAGAGAATAATTAAAATTCAGTAAAAAAAGCCTTATAAACTGAATAAGTTCTATCTTTTAAAGGACCGTTTTAAAAATGGTTTAATGTTTCAAGTACCAAATGTAGAATTTTTATTAGTATTACATTTTTTTCCCAATGAAAAAAAAATTATAAGAAAGATAACTCTTGCTAACAGATGTATTCTTTTCTTACAACTTCATACAACATTGTGATATTCTGACTTGGGAAGCAGCGCTTTATTATGTTTTCTAATATGAATTTGATAGGTATTTAATAGGTATGACAATAAATATTATTTTCATATACACCTCATATTTTTAATTTTATGTTGTGATACTAAATCACTACTCTTTCTATCCTCTGTCTTAAAATTTCTTCATATCATGATCTCACATAAAAATCATTTCTGCCAAAAATAAACAGCGTTTCATACCTCATACTATTTTTCATTTGAATCTAATGCTATAGCTTTGAAAATCAATGTTGGGAAGTTTTAAAAAAAATTGTGACATTTAGAGCAGAGGGTCATTAGTCCTTAAGGATAAGATATTTTATGTCAAATGATGCATTGTTGAACATTTTTAATACTATGGTTTTTCCTCATTTTACATATTGTTGTACCATATGGAGCAATCCAAGAAATGCTGATAATGTGAAAAAGCTTTTAATATTACAAAAACGTGCTGTTAGGGTTATTTTGAACATAAGAATTTTTCAAATACAATCTTCTGTCATGTTTGCACAACTTAACTGGATGCCTCTATCAGATTATTTTATCTGTAGAAAAGTCATTTTAGTGTATAAAGTATTACATGGATTAATGCCAGATTGCTTAAATGTTTTTAAATATGTATCAGAAATTAGCCAGAGGCAAACAAGAAATTCCAACTCAAATTTATTGTATGTACCCAGGACAAAGACCGAATATTAGAAGAGATCTTTCAGTGTTTCAGGTAGCAATATATGGAATACCTTGTGTGAAAACATCAGAAATTCAACAAGTGTTGTATGTTTTAAGAGAAACTATCTTAGAGAATACCACCATACATTTTAATTATGTTTGGTATTTATTTATTTTATATTTTATCTTATATGTACTCTATTTCTTTAATACTGTGTTTTACTAATACCTGTCTGTATGTATGTTATAATGCAGGACCATATTGAAAACTAACATTGTTGCTAAACTATGTCATCCTGGATAAATAAAGGCTTTATTATTATTATTTATTATTATAAGGACTATATTGCATTACTATTACTTCAAGAGAAATGCTTACTCAATTGTTGCTGAAAGTAAAATAAATTTGCCATAAAATGAGGTTTAATATAATTTCAACGCTGTGATTTTGTTCTATAGTAAGTGGGGGGGGGGTGCACAGACATACTCTTGCCCCCCCCCCCCCCCATCTGAAAGGGGGGGGCTAGTGCCCCTGCTGCCCCCCCCTCCCCCGTGACTACGCCTATGTGTATTAACTTCGTAAATTTTACCAGCTTCAGTATTATTAAAGACTTCAGTGGACAGTATGCATATGAAACTGCATATTGTGAAAGTATTTCAAAGAGTTTTAAAATATATATGTTTACTGAAACTTCTAACACATATATTAATTGAAAGATAAATGCACATTTTTATTAATTTTCTTTTCATATCTTTCAAAGAAGATGGGTGAACAAGGCGTGCAGAATGCCTATAGCTTCAGATATAAAAAAAATCATATTCAAATTGTGCATTAAGTATTTAAAGGAAAGTTCTCATTGTTGAAATTTATGAAATTATGATAATCAAAACTTTTCTGAGAAAAAAAATCTCGGAAAAATTATTCTTTTATTACAAAAATAAAATGGTTCTCGTGGGATTCGAACCCCTAACAATAAAAACCCGGAGTACATGTATATTGCTTTGAGACTAACACGCTACCCACTACGCTACTCAGCTCCTGATGAATAGTGGCATTTAAATCATGTTTGTGATATGACCCTTGACTTAATGGACTTCAAGTATTTTTCGGAAAGATGCGAATGCTTTGTCATAGAAGTGTACTTTTAATGTATAGTGGGTCTTTGCTCCATTTTTTTATAAACCAAAAAATGCATATTTTTATGCAAACTTTTAGGATTAACTTTCAAAAAAATGGAGAGAAGACCCACTCATATCGAAAAATTTTGTTAAATTGTGAGAAAATGACCCTTTTTGTCCTCTTTAGTGTGTGTATGCTATTTCGTAGGCAAATAATTTCAGTCTTTGTGAGATTTTTGTAAATTATAGAGATTTTACATGAAGTATACTTTACTTTTAGATGAAATATCAAAGAAATTTTGGATATGATTGAGATTTTATTTTTCACTTTATGTTTGTCGCACTATAGGCACTTCGCCCGCCTTGTTCACCCATCTTCTTTTAATTACTCGATACGGCAATGTCTGGAGACAGTAAATCTATTGAAGATATTTGAAACTGAAACTGTCCGGTCCTGTGAATAAACAGTAAAGCAAGTCTTCATTCATAGTAGACCTCCTCCAGTGTTTCAGACGTCTCATTGTTGCTGAAAAAAGTCTTTATAGATTTCCATATATATGGCTTAAAGTTTAAATTGCAGAAAAATATTTTCTGCAATGTATTATTCATTATGGGAGGATGTGGTGGTGGTGAAAAATTTAGTGAGGCAGCTGCCTCATTGCCACAATAGAAGCCCCTGTTTTGGGGAATAAATATATAGTACTGGAATACCAAATTAAGCTGATTAAGGTCATTTTCGAAAGATAAAAAAAAATCTCGAGTACGTGGCACTTTTATTCGCCCAAGTTTCCCGTTATTGCGAAACTTTGGCGTCAGTACATCGAGTATAACATGCATTAAAGTTATTTGCGTTTTTCGCGTTCAAGGGAGCTGACGGGGGTTTTCATTGCATCGCAATACTTCGCGCAGCATGTAGTGAAATAAAGCTTATTTACACATTTTTAGCAATGTCCTAAACATACATATAAATAATCAAATTTAACAAAATTAAGAAATCACAGGTAAAAAAGATTTAATTACATTGTTATAGAACTGAATCTTGAATTAAACGATATTTCAAGTTATATATAGGTAGCTGGACATCGTGATATGTGTTTTAATTGGAAAGAAAGGTCATAAAAAGTGTCATAAAAGCAATATGCTCTTGAATTTTAAAACACGGGAATTAGAAAAATCTCATAATTATATTTTGTTTTTACCCTAAATAAACCCTTTGTATCTGTTACTTCTGTTAGTACTTCACGAAAACAGGACTGAACGCTCGTAAATTTTGACTTTTTGAGATGGCCCCTTTAAAAAAACCAAGGTGGTCTTATTTACAGTAACATTCGTTTAGTACGAACACGAATATAGCGAATTCACGGATATTGCGAATTTTTTTGGATCCCCAGCTATATATAAGTTTAACAATTTTCTTATACGGATAAAACGAATTACAGATATAGCGAAGTAATTTCACAGGTCCCAGTGACTTCGCTATAACCGAGTTTTACTGTATAATGAACAATATAGCATTAGTTATCAATTAGTTATTATAATCTGAATAAATTATACTGTAGTATTTTTATAATTTGATTTGAAGTGCGATCAATCCATGTAACTGTATTTTGAGATGGTCCCTAAATGACTGACAGTGCTTCACAATGATAGGACTAGTTTTACCCACACCATAGCAAGGCATGCAAGTATCAAGTCGTACGCTGTATTGTCTGGTGTCTTCAATTTTCCTTATAATCAACAAAAATGTAGCCTCAAGAGAAAACGGAGGATGGTAATATATTTTTTTTATTAAGAAAATGGGCGTATAGTACTGTAAAAATTAAATACTAATGGATAAAGAGCATGTACTGATTAAGTACACGTATTAGATAAGTAATTCGAATTTTCTTTGTTATTTCTTCAGGAGCACAGACTATTTTTTATTAGCTAATCCAGGACCGTGTACAGTTGAAGTTAGAAAAGCTGATTCATTGTCTCAAGAAGAGTTTATACAAAGGTGATATAATTTTAGATTTATACATTCTTGGAGAATCATAAATCTGTAACCTTTTAAATCAGAAAATCTATGTTTCGGGACATTCTTTGAATCAGACAAAAAATTCTCTCCACCTAGCACCTACTTGTATTGTAGATGTTTATTTGCTTGTAAAGGAATAGAATGATAGGATTGGAAATGTTACAGTTTTGGCCGTTTGGGCAAGTTGTGCCGTTGTGGTCAAGTTGAGTTCTTTTTAGAGAAGTGCATGGACAGGTGTAGCCCAGTGGGCCATGTCTTTCCTCTCTTAGTAAGAGAATAAGGTGGAGTGGCATCTAGAAAGCAAGGGGTCATAAAGTAGAGTATCTGCTTCAGAAAAAATCAATAATTTCTAACTCTCACCCCATCAAGCAATTTCTTAAAAATGCAACACTCACTGTAGACGGAAGATTTTATCATTAAAATGATGTCTTACAGACCTGGTGAGGACTTGTCTCTGAAATATAGTTAGACTATTCTAACTATACTCACTGTAATTCAGCACCTTCATGATGACAGAAAATGGTAAAGCTGAGATTCTGCTCCGGGCAATCATGCAGCAGACAGCCAGGTGTTAGATTTAGATGAAAAAGAAAGGACACAAAAACCTCTGACTTGCAATGATGGGGAAAAATAAGTGGAAAAATTCCAGAACAATCTTCTTTTATTTGATTTGAGGTGGTTGATGATAGATTACATGTGGCTACTTGCACCAGTAGCTAGTTTTATATATGCATGTATGCAGTTGAACATTTCTGCATATTGTAACATGTTTACGATGTATGTTCACTTTGATTTTTCCCCAGATATGCCTACACAAAGCCAGTAATTATACAGCATGCAACAGACAATTCAGTAAGTAGATGCATTTTAGCATACATTGGCTTGATAATTCAGATCCTGCTTCATGTTGTTCAAAATAAATCGAGAGCTAAAAAGAGGGAAACAGTTGTAAGGAATGAGGATTTTCTGATTAATTGTGTCAGGTTTCTATAAAAAACATTCCCAACTGTAAGATAGATTTCCCTTTTTCTTTGTAAATTCTGATGTAAGATAAAACTAGTATTGAAAATTGAAACAGTCAACAACACACAGTATAACTAATTTACTTATGGTGAGTATAAAGTTGTCATATTCCATTTTAATTTGAAAAGTATGATTGATAAATATTTTACCTTTTCGTTTCAGAAATTCTACAGAATATGTGAGAAAGATTCCATGTTGGAAAAATATGGATCTAAAAAGATAAGATTAAGTTCTGCAAATACACACTCCTATGATAAAAGTAAGCTCTAAATATGATAGTTGTCATTTTCACTTATTTGTGTTGTTGTAGGCAGTGTTTGAAAGATCACTGTCATATTACAATGTAGATGTAATTTTAGCAAGACCAAAGTATTTTATGTCAGTCAACAGTTACAAAGGTTCAGTTAAGAAGCTTGATTTATGAAATATTAAATTAACAGATAACTGCTTTTATGTACTATTATGATCTACATGCAGCTGTATTTAATTGCTATCAGGGGATGTCACTCTAAAGTATTATGTAGAAAATGTGATGAGGCCCCAGACACTGAAAATGTTAGGAAACGGTAAGAACAATTAACAGATTATATGTGTACTTTTTCTATTTGCTCATGCAGAAATATGATTTCAGAGAAGTCAGTGTTAGCATTTAATAAGGAAGATTCGTAAACTGAGAAGGGAATTATTACTTAAATCTCTGTAGAGGAAACAACTCGTGATTTTCTTCAGTAGTACAGTTTTATTACTATACTTGTATGTTCTAATATTAAAGAGTTCATTTTGTAAATTAAAGTATCTACTATGAGTACTAAATTGAAAACTTAAATATTAAGTATTCACAAAGTTTTATCCATATAAAGTAGTCAAGTAGGGAGATGAACTTGAAAGTTAATATTAGATTTTGTCTTTAATCCCTTCCCTTAATAACATGTATATATAGTAAATGTTGATCAAACCACAGTAAACAATCCACATATTGCTTGGCAGCAAACCATTGTTAATATTTATAAAAAGTTTTACGAGACACTGAAATATGGTATTACAGAGGCAGGGTAAGTGTCTTATCTCATTTGTGATATAAAGTTGTCCACATGGAAAATTTCTGTTGACATGTATGTTGTTTATTTGTTGATTATTTCCAGAAACCTTTTACTGGTTTGGGGATAACAATTATACAGAGTGGAGGGAGTTGTTCAATCAGTACAATCCACCCCCTTATCAGTTACCTAGGATGACAGGTGCATACAGCTTTGGGGTGGCAGGTATGAGATAAATCTTACTTGGAATTTATTATACCCCCTGCTTGAAAAGTGGGAGGTGTATAGAGATGGGGGTGCCCGTCTGTCCATCTGTACATCCGCCCATCCGTTACGCTTTGGGATACGCATCTCTTATCCGCATCTCCTCTTAAACCACTGAATGGAATTTAATGAAACTTTCACAGAATCTTTGTTAAAAAGTGCCTTTGTGACCTCCTATTTTACTTTTTAATCAGACACATATTTCGGGTTTCCAATAGCAAAACATAGACACTGCTTTTTTTCTATAAAATTGAGGGGAACCCATCTCTTATCCGCAACTCCTCCTATACCACTTAATAAAATTTAGTGATACTTTCACAGAATCTTTATGACATGGTATCATTATGCATCTCCTATTTTACTTTTTGATCTGACACTTATTTAGCGAAACATGGACTTTGCCATTATAATCATATGGGAGGCAGGGGGTATCATTTTTTGAGCTCAGTGCTCACAGTTCCTCTAGTTTGGAAGGTAATTACCTGTAGAAATTGCTGCATTTCTTTCTGTATCCTTTATTAAGCTTATGTACATATACATTAAAATAAGTTGTAATCATAAGTTTGAGGTTTTTATTACGTTTTTTTTTGCTTTCTTATTGAAAGGCTCATGTGAGCTTTAAGAGTGCCTAGCATTTATGTCCTGTGTCGTGTGTCATCAGTAAACTTTTCACATTTTAAACTTCTCCAGAACCACTGGGCTAATTTCAACCAAACATGCCACAAAGCATCTTCAGACAAAGTGGGTTGAAGTTTATTCAAATGAAGTGCTCCATCCTCTTTAATAAGGAGATAATCAATAACTGAATATTAACCTCTTCTTCTCAAGAACTACAGGAACTGAAAGTACAAAACTTATTTGACAGCTGTCTTATTGTCCCATGCTGTCGCGAAAGTGCAGGGACATTAAATCTCATTGATTTGTCTTGCTCTGTCCTTATATACTTTGACCCATCTGTTAGTCACAGAAACTTTAACATTGGTCATAACTTTTGAAGGAGAAAACTAACTTCTCCATTATACATGTACTCTTATAGAATGTGAAAGTAGCCTTTTCATACATTTTATATAAATATCTTACTGAAAATACTTTTATTTGTTGAAGATAAAAAAGGACTACAAGAATATTAATGATAAGTATTGTTTGATGCATTTTGTTTATTTATACAGGAGCTGGTACTGGTGTACCCTTCCATTTTCATGGTCCAGGATTTGGGGAAGTTATTTTTGGCAGAAAAGTAAGGAAACCTTTCCAAATCAATTTTTACACAGGTCATTTTCATTTAAGATCTTTGGTTGTAGCCTTATTGATATTACACAATGTTACACTTATAGAGATGGTTCCTTTACCCCCCAGAGAAGACCCCATCCTTTCACCCAAACAGAACAACCTTACAATGGCTGATAGAGGACTATCCAAAGCTTCACCCTGAAGACTATCCATTAGACTGTACAATCAATCAAGGAGAGGTAAGGAGACTATAGGCTACTATCCATTAGACTGTACAACCAATCAAGGAGAGGTAAGGAGACTGTAGGCTACTATCCATTAGACTGTACAACCAATCAAGGAGAGGTAAGGAGACTGTAGGCTACTATCCATTAAACTGTACAATCAATCAAGGAGAGGTAAGGAGACTGTAGGCTACTATCCATTAAACTGTACAATCAATCAAGGAGAGGTAAGGAGACTGTAGGCTACTATCCATTAGACTGTACAACCAATCAAGGAGAGGTAAGGAGACTGTAGGCTACTATCCATTAAACTGTACAACCAATCAAGGAGAGGTAAGGAGACTGTAGGCTACTATCCATTAAACTGTACAACCAATCAAGGAGAGGTAAGTAGAATTATTCTGTAGGATACTATCCATTAAACTGTACAATCAATCAAGGAGAGGTCAGTAGGTGTCATTCAAGGTGAGGTCACTCAGTTTAGTAGACTTATCCTGTTGGCTACTATCCATTAGCCTAAACTGTCATTCAAGGTGAGGTCAGCTCTATTCTACCAGTTTTAATTTCTTAGTTTTAATAGATTGTTTTTCAATCCGTGTAACTGAAAAATAAGTATAAGAAATAAAGTTAAGGTGTTCTTATATACCGGTGCATTGTATTATACATCAAGTGAAGACAAGCTACAAATTGTTACACTACCACCTAATTTTTGATGACACATTCCTCCAATATCTTTTTTGTATCTTCTTGTAATATACCAAAAATATTTAATAAAATTACATGTATTATCTTGTGATTTGTAAACTGGATGCAAAACTCCCTAAATGAAATAATAAAATACATATTTATATCAAAAATTTTGATATCAGTAATTCAGTGATTTCTAATAGGATGACAGTAAACGTAAAAAATTTTATGTTGGGAAAATTTTTGCGATGAATAAATTTTCACCATGCAAAAGGTTTCAAATGGGGTGACATACAATGCAACAAACCAATACACTTTGTAAATTCATTAACTTTTGCAAAATAACACCCAATGCGAACTTTTTATTATATGGAAATCGCATGATTTTACTCCATATAAATATCCATGTTTACAGTAATTAGGAAATGACATTCTCTGGTTTTTTTGGTTTTTTTTTTGCACAAATGACAGGTAATGTACCTTAATTTTTTGGTTAGGAAATTCATTAAAGTAGCAATACTTCAATCACAATTTAAATCGCAGAATTTTACCCCATAAAGATATCCACATTTACAATATATAGGAAATGCTATCCTCTGGAATTTTGACTGGTAATGTACCTGAATTTCTTGTGAGTAACTTATCAAAGTAGCAATACTTTGATCAGAATTTCTTATAAAAATTATATATAATCGAGGAATGCATCATAAATTTAAGAAGAAAAAGAATCAGTATCAGTTGAAGAAATAAAAATCATAAATGGAGAAATATGGAATGTTTTAGCAATTCCTAATTTTTTTTTAATCCTTACATTTACAGATAATCTACTTCCCAGACCGATGGTGGCATGGTACCTTAAACATTGACACAAGTGTTTTTATATCAACTTTTCTGGGTTAATAAAAATATTTATTTATATTTTATGTATAAAGGTGTTTTTTTGTTGTTGTTTTTAGATCATCACCTACAGTGTATGTGTTCACTCTTTAAAAAAAAAAATTGTTTTAGAGTATACACTGCGGGGTAAAATTTGACAGTAATGGAATTCTAACTCTACAAATCTGTAAGGTATTTATCTATTTTATAAGAGGATTGATAAACCTTGACCTTTTAGGAAAACTAAGCCAAAGGGTTCATTGTTATCAGGTGGAATAATGTAGTAATGTAGTATAAAATATGCTGTTCAACTATAGAGCATGATAGTGTATGCAAATATCTGAAGCACTGGTAAAATTTAAGATTTTGAATACAGATATAATTTTGAATGTACTCATTACCAAGTTTGTGGGGTAGGAATAGGGGTGGGAATATGAAATTGTTTATTCAACATGTATTTGAAATTGCACGTGTAACCCTTTTATAACTTGATTACACAAATTGATAATTGTGGAGCAAGTGAGAGTAAAAGCTCGTAAAATTTCTGTTTAAAAAAGGTGTTCTCAAAAGAAAGAAGGCGTACAAGGCGAGGACAATCCCCCGCTCTGGGAAATATATTCTCAATTTTCAAAGTTCAAGGAAAAGTTATATTTTTCTAAAATAATGTTTTCAGTAATGTCATCTTCAACACATTTGATTCAATCATTTTATTGAATGACTTTTTGATTGATAATTTGTTATTAAAGTTGACAGTAAAGCATATTTAGTGGAAAATAGGTTTATTAGAGCCATAAAAAAAAGAAGATTTTTGAATATGAATGGGTCAAGACTCCATTCTTCATTAACGTGTATTTGACGGAAAAGTGAATGTGAAATCAATTTCATGTTTCGAAAAAATGGAGTCTGAACCCTTCTATATGAAAATCGAACGTTACTGAAAAAATTTTACGCCTCAACAAACTCATTTATTTAAATCACGCTGACATCAAACAACACAAGTAGACTTCGTAGCGTAGTGGTTAACGCGTTTGGTCTTACGCCTAATCGTGAGCTTTGGAGAGAGTTGGAATCATGCGTGAAGCTTTTTTTCTTTTCTTTTTCACATACCTTAAGAAAATTGGTGAAAAATAAATTATTTGTCTTTAATTTCTTTAACAAAATATAGGAAACAAATGCGTAAAAGATTATATTGACAATGTAATTTTTGAAAAATATAACTTTTCATGAACTTTTAGAATTGAAAAATGTCTTCTCTCAGAGCTGGGGATCGTCTGCGTGCACGCCTTCATTATTCAAAAGTTGAAATCCACAGTGTAAATATTTAATCAAAATTTATTTTCCTGAATTTATCTTGTAAATGAAGTGTTTATGAAAACCCGATCTGATTGCGCTTCTCAATGAGAGAAGCAAGCCCGTAAAATATCGAAAGAAATTTGTCACAGGTCCAATGACCACGATTGGATTGAGGACCCTGTTCCACCACAGAAGTCTAAAGTTTTTATCGTTAAAAAATATACGATAAAAAGTTTAGACTCCTGTGCACACGTAGACAATCTAGACGTCTTAAGGAAGAGAAAACTCAATAGAAGATGAAAGAAAAGGAAGAAAGATAGGGGGAAAATACACCCTAAAAGCAAAAGGCCCATGGACCACAACGCTCACCTTGTCCAGTGATCTTTTCTGGCATATTGTCTCTTGAGAAGATTTTGTTGAATGACACCACACTATATTTTCCTTTTCTTGATTATCTGCGAATGGGGCTTGTCCCTTCATTTGAAAAATTTACAATCCCCCAATCTCCTTTACCAAAAATTGCTTTGTGCCAACTTTGGTTAAGTTGGCCCAGTGTTTTTTTTTTTTTTTAGAAGTTAACAGGTTTGTTAAATAAATTTTTCGCACATACATGTACTATAGTACTTCTTGGCAGGGTGCGCCGTGACCTTTAGACACTATAGGATCGATCCCGATGCTTATTCTGTAGCATGTTAAACATACTTTTTTATGCAGAATATTTATTGATACAATTGTTTATAATTTTTATTTACCGCCGCCCCCTTCCGATGTACATTATTCAAAATTTCCAGAATGCATTATCATATGATTTTAAAATGTCTTAAGTTGAACATCTGACTCAGGTGGAATAGTACATGTATAATTATGTACTTTGATCATATATTTATGTGACGTCAGGATACCATGTAACCCTTTGATTGAAAGGACGCGAAATTATCCAAATCTTGAAAGAAAACATTTTATTATTAAAAAAAAAAAAAGAAAAGAAAATTCAGATGAATTTGTTTTTCAAAAGAATTCACAGTTTTTACGCAATGTTTCGTCTCACACAGCAAAATGTTTAATCCACCTTTAAAGACTATTCGGTCCATATGCACAACGTCAATATACCTATCTCCTCAGCCTTTGCGTTCCTAGACAACTGTAACGTATATATTTTGTTAGTTTCGACATATAATTAGGTTCAAAATTGACTGAAGACACAAACACACACAAACCATCAAACCACTGACTGTTGATTTTGTTACGGCTTGTTTAAATAGCAAGCTATGCAAAACGAGAGACGGATATCATCAACAATAAACTATCCATAATAAAAGTTATTTTTGTCGAAGGTAAATCAATTGCACTTTAAGTTGTGCCATATGTTAAAGATTATAACAACTGTGTGCAAAAAAAAAAAAAAAAAAAAAAAAAAAAAATTACCGTACGACTGCATGGATTTTTTTGGCGGGGTGCTTACTTTGGCTTATTTTAGAGGTTTAGTAGAAGTCCTATAAAATTTTTAAATTTGCACGCTTGCGTAAAAGTACTGAATTCTAGAAAAATAACTCTGATCGGTCTGTTAAAAAAAAAAATTAGTAATCAAACGTACCAAAAACTCATCTGGAAGATATTTCTACATATCTAAGGTACCTGAAGCACTCTCCTGTTACACGGCAGCAAATAATGTTAATGGTTTGGAACTTTATTGAACATTGTGTCCAACAAAAAAGTTTCGCAAAAATTATTGGCATACCTTTGAGCAAGCAAAACGTCAAATTTTACGCCCGCTACAGAAATCCGGTATGCGATTATCGGAAAAACATACATAAATTTAAGAAAGAAATGAATTTTTTTTCTTGTTCATGTAACATATCACAAAGAACATAATAATATAAAATGTGTACAAGGCACTGATATATTTTTCATTATTCTGAGCACCCAGATAGAACACTTCCTTTTTCCTGCACTACATAAGAGTGACCTAATGTACATGTATGAGAAGGATCAATTGTGGAACAGTTCAAAGATGCCACATTTTGTATGCTTCTTGTATGCCACAAAGTCCAAAGCTTTTATTTTGCATCATCACCAGGTTTTTTAACCCAACCATATTCTAATCTAATAACTGAGTGAGTGGTTGCAACACTCGTGATAATTTCGGACTTTAACCTTCTTCTGTAGCAACTAATTCCGACCATAGAGCCTCTACTTCTGGGTCTGTATCACTATCGTTTTCATCTGCAGCATATTCAGCTATATCAACATCATCATCAGAATTCGATAAGTCATCATCGCTGGAATTCTCTTCTGTGTCGACTTTATTTTCGATATCCTGTGTAGCATCAGAGATACATGTATTACCCTCAAAAGGTGTTGTTGCTGCCTTTTCAAACGAATATCCATCAAGAAGTTGTTGATCTTTAAGTTCTAAAGAAATGTCTTGCTTTTCTTCCTTCCATTCAATGGATTTTGCACTCTCAAAAGCGGGCACAATAGTTGAATCTCCAATACACCCTAAGATGGAGCTCTTACAGGATAATTCATATCCTTTCTTCTTCGCATTTTCAATTTTCTGGATTGTTCCCATGCCTTTGGTATCAGATGAAAGTGATTTTAATTTCTGCTGGGAAAGATACACTTCTGATAAGTCAGATTTGAAATTCTCTAATTGTAATACATCTCTGCCTTTCCTATTGAATCCTTTATCAAACTTGTTCTTGGTGGGAACATCTTCGAATGAATTTAATTGCATGCTTTTACTAGAGCAAGTATCTACGCCGCTATCACTGTCATCATCAGACAAATACCCGCAAATGGTAGCATCGGAGGAGTCGGATAAATTACCATCCATGTCCTCCGTTTCTGACACAGACTCCGAGGTAGTGTCCGATCCATCAGGCAATTCAACATCGCTTGCTAGGTGCTCTGTGTCTTCCGGTATGTCAACAGATTTGTTCTCCAAAGCATTCGGCAAATCTTCTGCTTTACTTAGCTTTGTGGATTCAGAAGAATTCTGCATTTGATTTTTGACCATTTCCTCAAATGAAATATCCTCAGCAATGTTTGTACCATTGGGAGCATTGTTTTCTTCATTCAGAGATTCATCGATGTCTGATAATTTGGAATTTCCGGAATTTTCTTCTATTGATTCCAACCATAGAGCTTCAACTTCCGGATCTGTGTCGCTACTGTAATCTTCTGAAGTATAACCATCTGTATCATCAGAGGAGTCTGACAAATCATCATCGCTGACACTCCTTTCATTGACGACAGGCACTGAACCATCATCCTCGAGTGACGATTCGCTCGGTTTTTCCACCAAAACTTGTTCAAGAGCATTGATCTTCGAACTTTCTGGATAGTCGACTGACCTCGCTGAATTGAAAATTTGTTCATAGCAATTATGTACATTGCTATTTTGTTCTTTAACAGTTCCTACCGAGACGGCTTTAGGAATTTCAGAAAAGGCAATTTCAGGGGTAGTGTCTGGGCAATTGATCAAGGTGCAGGTAGAAGTGTTATTATCAACAAATTTTTGGAAACCCTGGCGATGTGTCACCTAGAATATGAATAGACATTTTTTAAAATAATTATTATGGCATATTTCTGCACCCTAACTGCAAGTTACATTTTATAGATAATGTCGATGTGCAAGACAACCATTTCAAAATGCAACATAAATATGTTGAGATGCAAGAAAAATGTGATAAGAATTTGGAAATTTTTTCATTAATTACATGTATCTTTGTTGGCACATCTCTAAGGTAGCATATTTCTGCTCCATATATGCAAGTTATTTTTTATATGCAAGATAATTACATCACTATTCAACATAAATTTGTCAACATGCAACATTACTACTAGTACACTGTATTTTGACATGCAAGAAAAATGTAATCAGATAAGACTTTAGAAAATTTTCATAAATTGTAAGATATCGCCAACATGTGACTTCCAACATGCTATATGCAACTAAGTTATGTTGGCATGCAGCATTCTTGCTAACATGCTAAATCATATATGTTGATATGCGAGTTACATGTCAATGTGTTGGCTTGAAACTTATTTATGCTGACATGCAACTTAATTATGTTAAAAGCGAATGAAATATGTCAACATGCAACCTATTTATGTTGATAAGTTACATGTGTACATGTTTTTTCGCTTGTCAGCATAAATAAGTAGCATGTGAACAAAAATAGGTTGAAAGCACACGAATAAGTTGCATGTCAACATAAATAAGTTACATGTCAACATCAATAAGTCACATGTCAACATAATCAACATAAATAAGTTGCATTTCAATATAAATGAGTCACATGTAAAAACATTGCATATCAGCATAAATAAGTTGCATGTTGACATAAGTATGATGTATGTCAGCATAAATAAGTTGCATATTAACATAAATAAGCTGCATACCGATATAAATTAGTTGCATCTAGCATGCTGGAAGTTACATAATGGTAGTGTCATCTGCAAATTTACAACTCGCTTGTGGTAGTCTTTTCCTTGTTTTACTTTTTAGCTCACCTGAGCCGAAGGCTCAAGTGAGCTTTTCTGATCAAAATTTGTCCGTTGTCTGTCGTCGGCGGCGGCGTCGTCGGCGTCGTTGTTGTCGTAAACTTTTCACATTTTCATCTTCTTCTCCAGAACTACTGGGCCAATTTCAATCAAACTTGGCACAAAGTATCCTTGGGTGAAGGGGTTTCAAGTTTGTTCAAATGAAGGGCCACGCCCTCCTCCAAGGGGAGATAATTACGAAATAGCAAAAAATTAATGGCATTATTGAAAAATCTTCTTCTCAAGAACCAGTGGGCCAGGAAAGATGAAACTCATGTGGAATTATTGTCAGGTAGTGTAGATTCAAGTTTGTTCAAATCATGACCCCCGGGGATAGGGTGGGGCCACAATGGACGATCAAAGTTTTACATAGGAATATATAGGAAAAATCTTCAAAAATCTTCTTCTCAAGAACAGCAAAGCTATGATTGGTCATATTTATTTGGAAGCATCCACAGGTGGTGTAGATTCAAGTTTGTACAAATCATGTCCCCCGGGGGTAGGGTGGGGCCACATTGGACGATCAAAGTTTTACATAGGTCTGGAATATATAGGAAAAATCTTCAAAAATCTTCTTCTCAAGAACAGCAAAGCTATGATTGGTCATATTTATATGGAAGCATCCTCAGGTGGTGTAGATTCAAGTTTGTTCAAATAATGACCCCTGAGGATAGGGTGGGTCCAAAATGGACGATCAAAGTTTTACATAGGAATATATAGGAAAAATCTTCAAAAATCTTCTTCTCAAGAACAGCAAAGCTATGATTGGTCATATTTATATGGAAGCATCCTCAGGTGGTGTAGATTCAAGTTTGTTCAAATCATGACCCCCGGGGGTAGGGTGGGGCCAAAATGGACGATCAATTAACATACATGTAGGTGTACATAGGAAAAATCTTCAAAAATCTTCTTCTCAAGAACAGCAAAGCTATGATTGGTCATATTTATTTGGAAGCATCCTCAGGTGGTGTAGATTCAAGTTTGTTCAAATCATGACCCCCGGGGGTTGGGTGGGGCCACATTGGACGATCAAAGTTTTACATAGGAATATATAGGAAAAATCTTTAAAAATCTCAAGAACAGCAGAGCCACGGTTTGTCATATTTATACGGAAGCATCCTCATATAATGTAGATTCAAGTTTGTTCAAATCATGACCCCCCCCCCCACTCCCTTTTTAGGGGTAGGTTGGGACCACTTATGCATTTTAGCTTTTCAATACTAAACTGATTTTTCCTTTTTTCCTAGACACAGTGCTCACGTGAGCGATGTGGCCCTTGGGCCTCTTGTTTTAATCGTAGCCATTGAATTCAAAATTTACAAGTGAATATTAAACTTAGAATACTTGCGGTTATTGATTACATTACGATTACAATAAAATGAATCTTCATGAAAGATACTAAATCTTGCATTGCTTTAATGGATAGTTTAATATTTTATGTTAAAATATATATGTAAAGTTCAGAAACAATGTTCCATTTTGTATATTGTCAGCTGAAGAAATGTAGCTCTTTGGAAAAAATATACGCATTAACAGACCGTTCTGTCAATATATTTTTTTTCAGAGAGCTACAGTTCTGCAGTTGGTACCGATCTTTTCCCATAATTCGAGCAATATCTGTAGACTATAACAACCATGAACTGTATTACAATCCATCCAATGAAGACCTATACAGGAAATAAAGGTATCCCTCATATACATTGTATATACAGAGACATATCAAGTATTTTTACATGTATGCTGCATGCTTATTTACTCAAGTAGATATTCCTGGCACTTAACACAAACAAACAAAAATTAACTGAACACTGAGAACTTGATATTAATTAAATGCGTAATCAGATAAACTGAGTAATCAATGATAGTTAATGTGATGTCTTTCAATAATTCATTAAAAACTTACAAATATGATTCCATCAGACGATGGGCAAACTGCAGCGGGAACCTCTTGTAAGCCAATAACTTGAAGAATTCTCTCCAGAAATGATGGATCTGGTTCCCGACTGTGGTAATTAAATAATTAAATTGTGATTTCATCGTGACAAATCAATTTACTTAGCAATTTAACCTATTACGTAAAAAAAATATATAATTTGGAATGCAACATTTGAAATGAAATGTGTGTGACGTATTCAAATTATCGTCATTGAAAATTCAAGATCTTACCAGTTGAGGTAGGTTACAACTCGGTGAGCTGTTATGCCAGTGATGAAAGTCTCAAAACCACCAAAAAGCAATTGTTTTCTTGTTTTTGACATTGTAATTACTTCTCTGGGGACAAGTAACAGAAGGGATTTTACCGAAATCCTTTTCGCGTTTGTGACGTCACAATGTTTTGCATTATGACGTAGTGCAATTGTGGCTAAATTACCTATCTTGATGTTTTGCAACCATTGTTTTAAAAATTCTTACTAATTGATGATTTTAAATTATCTTTATGAATATTTTCATTACTATCCCAGACAGATTCATTGGGCACGTACATTTTGTATTTTCAAAGTTTACCAGTAACATCAAATTAAATATTATAGTGGTAAAGGATGCAATAGATATAAATTATAAATAAACATGTACTTTTATGGTGATCTTTTTCAAACCTAGCAGAAAAAGTAATGTCTGGAAAAAATATGAAGCAAGATATGTAAATTCTAGAAAATTAATTTGCAGAATTGAGAGAGACCTGTACTCCATAGAAAGTTCCGGGCAAGTAGTTTATCAAAACTAACACACTTCTGTGAGCATAAGGACTTGGAATTAAATCATATGTGATATCCCCCTTAAGCTGCCTTAATGACACAATCAGTGGAGATTGTGCTATAATAAATTTGATTAATCATTGTGAGCTATTTCAAGCTCTTGTAACCTTATACCCTGCTCAGTGATGGAGAAATAAACGCGTAAGAAGCTTGAAGGAAGCACTGTCATCAAAGCCTTGGAATACAATCATGGATTTCAAGCCGTAATGATGAGTCTTATCTTTACCAAATATAGAGGACAATTCCAGCATGCATCGAAAATGGTTCTCTTAAAAGAATTACAATTTCAGAAGGTTTTTGTAATAGACGTATCTTTTCGCCATTGAGATTTCTATATTGGAGTGGGAGTAAATGAAATATTCCCCATATATGTACCTAAACACCAAAGTTTTGGGGTGAGTATTTTTAATTTTTGCTTTGTCTGTTTGTATTTTAATGCATTGAAATTGTGTAGATCTTGTCTGATCAATTTCTTCTGGAAGAATACTGGTATGTAAATACCTAATATGAATTTACAAATAATGCAAAGTTTAAATATGATTGATACTAATTACATGATTAGAATCGACTACTATAGTGTCATTAGATTGGGATGAATGAATTCTATGCTATGAATCAATAATGCATGATGAAGCAATGCAAAAACTTCCATTAGTTGAATGCAGCCCAAATATACATTACAACTGACCCACTCTTAAATTGATGCGAGATTGCAAGACCGAGACGAGTTCCTCATATTGTAGATTCGGGGTGGAACAGTGCGTAGAATGAGTCTCCGCCCCTCCTCCAATTTGAATTTACGTTTCGATCAGTCCATTTCTCTAAAAGATGTGACGCAAAAATTACTAGAGTAAATGCATAAGTTACTGTAATACTGAGTTCCCTACGGTATATGTAGTCTATATATTTGTTTTTAAAAATTAATTTAGAAAAATATTTTTTTAAGTTCAGGGACTGAAATTCCGCAAAAAGACAACTTAATCTGCAATTTGGCAAGCCGATCTGCTACCCTCCCCACAAACCCTTGACAGATTACCCCACTAAAACTGTGAACGACATTAGCGACATCTTAATTTCGGACGTTCTAAAACTTAACTCTATTCAATTCTAACCAATCAGCTAACAGCTTTCAAATTGCAATGAGATATCTGCAAGAAAAAAGGGTGAATTGCAAGAAGAAATAAGTGTTTATCAACGATTTAAAGTGAACATATAATGTTTATTTGGGTTTAAGCTAGGGCACGGAGTAGCAAATCGTTTTGTATGTCCGTCTGTTTATTGTATATGACGTAATGCCACATGCCAGTTGTCTTTTCATTGGTTCCAAGAGTCTAGCTTGGAAGGAATAAAAATTATAAAATGTAGTTTTAGTGGTGTAGTTGGCAAGGATTTGCGGAAAGACCGAGGTTTCTTGGTTTGCAAAAATAACTATATCTACAACTCAGCAAAACTCACATACCAAAAATAAGCTTTAAAAAATAAGCAATGTCTGGAAAACCAAGTGAGACAGACACTGACAAAATGAGAGACCAAGAGGAAACCAGTAGTCTACTCCGGCTGTCTAATAAGCACCTCCCACTTTTATCTGTACAGCTGTGGCAGCAGTGTCATGTATATTTTATAGTAACTTCTTCCTAAATCGTAAAAACAAGAGAAAATTGCATTCAAAGGTAAATTTATTTAGTTCAATAAAATGAAGATGATTAATGTTTTGATACTCTATTGTGTCTTACAACGTAAAATTATGTAGTAAAAAGAGAATGCATTTATTTCTTGCATTTGATTGAACAACAAAAATATATATATAAAAAGATGGAACTTGGGAAATCTTGTGACTATAAGGCGAAATATTGTTTTTTTAAACAGACATCGTAATTATCATCCGTTATATTTTATTAATTTTCTCTGTCTACATATTGGTGATTTATTTACAATTATGAAAGAACCATTAACACAGGACTTTTATGTCCGGACAAATCTTAACCGGATGGAAATTGCAACAAGAGGTAATCATTACTGTTAGAATTCTTTATATGATTCTATGGAAACAAAATATATATATATAATTTTAATTTTATTTCTTTGAATGGTTTGGAAAGTTAATCATAATAGCATATTTACAATTAAAAAAATAAAAAGAAAGAGAGATATACTTATAATAGAGATATACCAGAGTTAAACTAGCAAAATGATCAAAGTGGGACACACACAAAATAATAATTTAATTCTGATAAACACGCTGTTTAATTGCATAAAATGATGAAAGTTACGAAAACATCAGAAGACCACTGTAAGACAGTAAATTCTTATAACTTCCATGTTTATAGACGTGTAAGTGCCCCTTGTGCACGTGAACCGCGCCCACAGGTGAGAAAATGACCACAGTAGAACTGCGATAGTTTGAGAGAAACTGCGCGGATTTATAGCCAGGGTCCCCTGGGGTTGAGGGCAACATTAATTATGTAAGCCCCCAAGGATGAAATATTGCCCGACGAGGAGCAGATATATTTTTAGTCCCGAGGGGGCTAACTTAATCAATGTTGCCCAGAAACAAAGTCAGTAATTGCTTTGTTACATGAAAACCAAAAAACAATTCAATAAAATTGTACTAGTATTTTGTTTTCATTTAATAACTTTTAACAATTCATTGGAATCAAATTCATGCATTATCTTCTTTTTAATTACTGTTGGCTTAGAGCACGAAGGTTAATTCTTCAGAAAACAATATGAAAACTGAATATTTCTCATTTATTTGCATATAAAGATAAAGGTATACTTTTTTCTATATCAAAATAATAAGATAGGTTATTCCTTCAAAATATATTCATTACATGTACAAAGGCTTCACACGAGGACTTTTTTTCCAAAATTTTCTTTATTAAATACGTTTCCAAAAAAAAAAATAAACTTGATAAATACTGCAAGAAAAATGGGAGGATGTTTGCTTTGTGCTTTAGCCTTTTTTGGACATAGGTCTGTTCTTATAATCTTCTAAAGCGTAGAAAAAATACACACGTTGAAGGTTTCAAAATCAGAAAGGTACCCAATATGATAATTAATGTCAGAAACCTTTGGGTTGTTTTAATGTTGATATTATTTTTGTTTGTTTTGGGACTATGCTTTGAAATGAAAAGTTTACTCAATTTGCGTGCATTTTTAAAGCGAAGGAAAGTATCTATTTTTGGCCTTCGTGATGTGATTACCTGCTGGGAATTACCTGGTAGATCGCATAAGAAGCCGCTTATGGAAAACGTATTAGCTCAAGGTTAGCTTCATCAATAAAGACACGATTTTTAAGTATTCATACTGACGTCATGTGTTTCATCATCATTAAAACTTATCGGCAAATATTTAGCAGAAACATTCCCCCACCCTTTTTTTTGTAAATTTTATCTTCGAGGTTTGTGAAATTTCACATGTCCACAGTGTTCACAATTGCAACTTAGAATGGTATACTAAAAAAACAGTTAGCACTTTAGTGCAAGATAATATAAATCAGTCTTTCATTGATTTCTTTAAATCTGAAACACGAGAAAGAGAGTCTGACACCATTTCCTTAGCGAGTTATTAAAAATGATAAAGTACCAGCATTAATATTTAGTTTTATATATAGGCACTGAACCTAAAAACTCATAATTTGATAATCCAGAAGTCGGCACTTATGGTCACTAACCATAAAAAAAATCTACATTAAATAAGAACAAGAAAGCAAGCTAAAAAACAATTCTATATGACAGTAAAAGCAGTCTTAAATTGTCTGCGATTTTCATATTTGATTATTATTATACCCTGGGCGATTAGAATAATAGATTGAAGAACGTATTTGTTAAGATCTGGAGAAAAAAAAAAACGAACACACCGATATTACTGAAAAATCCATTTATTTGATCACGCGTTTCACTTTCAATGCTCCCGCATCTGTTTGATATAGTAAATTTACTTCTCTATGGACAGCGCGACTTGTGGTATTGTATAACATTAGCTTTCAGTTAAGTCTCACTTGAATATGGTTACGATAGATTTGAAATACTATTATTAATGCTTGTAGTCTGAAAAAATAGGGAGCGTTCGAAATCGTTTCCTTGGTTCCGAAACAAATGTATCAATTTCTACTTAGTTGTTAACTTATTTACGTTACATTTATTCTCCATGGTATCTCTTTTAAAACTGAGTTTCTTAATATTAATTAAAAAAAAATACACACAACTGATCTCCAAAATCCATTATTCCTCGAACAGTCCCCCAAACTATGCGATAATCCCCCCCCCCCTTCTGAATATTTTTGTCTATATCAAGAACACGTGGAAACAATTTTTTGTTACAACAACCCCGAATGACTGGTGTGTTTTTCATGTTCGTGCACTGTTTCATTTAAAAAAATATTTTCAGTAAATTTTCCGCCTTGCCACTTTTACAGTTAAGTAAAGTTACATGTATTATTATGTATCATTAAACACAATTTGAGCAGACGAAAGAGTGGTTGAAAATAAGTAATGACGCAA